TGTGAATACATGTCTTGGAAATATGGAATATTTAGATGTTTCCGCCTTGTTCTAAATATTTTCTTGTGGGTGTTGACCCGTTGTTGCATATCTGTAGAGCAGGTGTTTGTATTGCATTGGATTTTTTTTATGATAATGTGACATACCCCTTTTGTGCTATGACTTACATGTACTCTGATAAAATTTTGACTTATGCCTAAATAATTAATTGAATTATTTTGGGGTAGGAATAAGGGGGGTGTTACAAGTGGTATCAGAGCCAGTGTTGAGTCAGTTGTGTTTGTCTTATTGTTTTGTTGGTTGAGCGGTTGTTTAACCTTGTTGCTGTTTTTGCGATTAAGAAGATTATGGCAGGTCGTAATGACAGTGCTATGGCTGCGGCATTGGAGGCGATGGCTAGAGCGGTGCAGGGTGCGCCGAATGTGAACGCAAATGATGAGTTTAGAAAGAATAAGCCACCGGTGTTCAAAGGAAGGTTTAATCCGGACGGTGCCCAAAATTGGTTGAAAGAGATCGAGAGGATCTTCAGAGTTATGAACTGTGCTGAGGGCAATAAGGTGAGGCTTGGATCTCACATGTTGCGGGAAGAAGCCGATGACTGGTGGATCGGCATGAGGCAAGTGCTTGAAGTAGATGACGAGGAAATAACTTGGGATTTATTTCGTGCTGAATTCTTGAGGAAGTATTATCCTGAGAGTGTGAAAGGAAGGAAGGAAATGGAATTTCTTGAGTTGAAACAAGGCAATATGTCTGTGGTGGATTACACGGCTAAGTTTATGGAGTTAGTAAAATTTCATCCTCACTATGATGCGGTGACGGCAGAATTCTCTAAGTGTGTTAAGTATGAGAACGGCTTGCGTCCCGAGATCAAACAAGCGGTGGGCTATCAGAGGATAAGGAGATTTTCGGACTTGACCGAATGTTGTCGAATTTTTGAAGAAGATCGCAAAGCTCGTTCTACTCACTACAAGAGTTTGAAGGAGGAGAAAGAAAAGCGACAAGTAAGGAGTGAACCTTATGAGACGCCAGCTGATAAGGGCAAGCATAAGGGAAACTTTGTTAAGGGATCTGGAGGAGGGAGTTCTGGATCCATTAAATGCTACAAGTGTGGCGAGATGGGTCATAAGTCTTTTATGTGTGGAAAGCCCAAGATCAAATGCTCTAATTGTGGAGTTCTTGGACATGATGTTAAGGATTGTAGAATGGGTGCAGTGAAGTGCTACAATTGTGGAGAAGTGGGTCACATCAGTGCGAAGTGTCCTAAACCGAAGCAAGCTTCAGTAAGTGGGAAAGTGTTTGCATTGGCAGGGTCGGACACTACCAATGCGGATCGTTTGATTTGAGGTATGTGCTTTAATTATGTTGCACCTTTAGTTGTTATGTTTGATATCGGAGCGACTCATTTGTTCGTTTCTTTTGAGTACGCTTAGTGTTTGGTTTTGATTTTCCGTTGATGCGATGGTAATTGAGAGTGAAGACTTTAAGATGGTGACGTTGGACAACGTACGTGTTTGAGATTTGAGCTCATTGGGGTAGAATGACTAGTATGTTATTCCTGATGAGGTATAAGTATCATGGTTGTATTCGCTAGGGTAGAATGGCTATGTGTCGTTCCTAGTGGAAAGAATCACCGGGGTAGAATAACCTAGATATTGTTCCTGGTGAAGTACGAGTGGTGTACCCGTAATCTCCAATGGGAGTTGATGAGGGTGACAGTCTTTTATGAGCCACGTGGCATGGCTGTGATTGTGATAAGGAAGTATGCATGTGGACGATTGTGTGTAACTTGGGAATTCAGGAAAGGACGCAGGAATCGTGTCCGGTGTGTTTTGAATCAAGTGATATTTTCGAGGACGAAAATTTCTAAAGTGGGGGAGAGTTGTAACGCCCCGATTTCGATTTTCACTTTTATTGGGCCCCAATTTAATTAAATTGGGTGAATAATATTTGGATGTAGAATTTGTGTGGAAATATGTTATATTTACATATTATCATATTTTTAACCGGTATTGGGAGGTTTCGGAGGAAATAGTTTGGAAGGGTATTTTGGACATTTCCTATTTAATATTAAGTGAGATATTTGTGAGATATTGAATTAATAGATGTTTTGGAAAAATAATGGAAAAGATATTAAAGAAGAGAAAGAAAGGAGAAAGAAAGAAGAGGAAGAGAAAGAGAAGAGAAAGAGGAAAACCTAGAATCATCAAGAATCGATCAAAGCTTGCGATTAATCAGGTAAGGGTGAGAAGTTTTATCATCTTAATAATGTATAGCATCATATATGTATTAGTTTGGGGCTTGTTGGTAGTTTTTCTACACTATCCATTTCTAGGGCAAAAGTTGGAATAATCGGTAGATTGAAGATTTAATCGGTTGGAACTGAGTAATAACGCCGTAGAATAGTCGGGTAACATGTATTGATGCTATTTGTACTGATTTAGATGTTTAAGAGATGGTTGATGATGGATTGGTGAAGGAGGGACAGAACAGAATGCTGTTCTGCGCAGGTTCGCTGGCTCTCGCCAGGCGAGCGAAGGCGAAGCTTCGCCAGGCGAAGCCCGGCGAATGCTGGCGAGTAATTATGTTTAAGTCCCAGTGGACTTCGCTGGTGAGTTCGCCAGGCGAAGGTGGATAGCGAAGGTTCGCCCAGCGAAGGTGCTGGCGAATGGTGGCGAATGAAGTCAGTAGCTACTGACTTGGGCTCGCTGACGAGTTCGCCAGGCGAAGCCTAGCGAAGGTTCGCTGCGGGGGTTCGCCAGGCGAATAAAGGCGAACGTGACAGCATTTTTCTTGTGCTGTGTTGCTCATGTGGTGATTGTTTGGTTGATTCACATAGGTTAATACCTCTATGATATGAATAAGTATGTGATCTATTGTGATAACATGTGCTGTGGGTAGCCTTCGTGCGTAAATCCTCGATTGTGAATTGTGGCCGTTTGGGCAAATATGTGCATTGTTTAAATTGATTTAAAATGCATGATAATGAGGTGAATGACTAATGTGTCGTGTAATATACATTGCGATGTATGATGATTGTATGAAATTGAATGAGGTGAAGATGCATGAACATATTATGTGTATGTGTGTGCATTTCAAGAATTGTACAGAATACATTCTTGTGTTGTTGATTCCTAGGAGAATCTGATGAGTGATAGGACTCTTAGGAGAGCCTGAGGAGAGACATGACTCTTAGGAGAGTCTGATGAGAGGTGTGATTCCTTGGAGAGTCTGCTGTATGACCTGATTCCTCGGAGAATCTGATGAATGGTGTGATTCCTCGGAGAATCTGCTGAATGAATTGATTCCTCGGAGAATCTGACGAGATATGTGATTCCTTGGAGAGTCTGCTGATTAACCTGATTCCTTGGAGAATCTGATGAACAGTGTGATTTCCTCGGAGAATCTGACGAGTGGCGTGATTCCTTGGAGAATCTGATGAATGGTGTGATTCCTAGGAGAGTCTGATGAGTGTTGTGATTCCTAGGAGAATCTGACAAGTGATAGAATACCCATGAGGGGTGAGAGTAGATTGATCCTTAGGAGGATCTGACGATCGACTAGATCGATGTTGTGTTGCATTTACATAGAGTAGCGAGTTGTCCTCTATGATTTGCATTTGTCATCTGTATATGATGTATAGTGAAATAAACATGTTGTGTATGTTTATTGAATTAACGTGAAATGTATGTTTTGGCATAATGTAGATACTGGAGGATATATATATATATAGATATATATATATATATATGTGGTTGCATGTTTATGAAAAGATATAAACATTGATGATGCATATTGAGTATGCTTGGTGATATACAGTTGTATATAGATATATTATATTGTACAAGGTGAGTTGTGGTGAGAATGCGTAGAATGCATAATTGTTGATATGAGATATTTATATATGTCTTTATGCATTATTTATTATGATATTGTTTCTCACCCTTCTGCTGTTTGATAATGCTCTATGAGGCATTGCAGATTAGATGGCTGGAGACATTTTTGTGAAGCGTGACTTCATTCTTTTTGGTCGGTCGGCTCTGATATGTAGCACCGGGTAGATAGGAGTTATTTTGATTCTTTTGTGATACATCTGTGTATGTATCTGCTGATGTTATGTTTTGTTAACATGTTGGATGACAATTGTATATGTGAATACATGTCTTGGAAATATGGAATATTTAGATGTTTCCGCCTTGTTCTAAATATTTTCTTGTGGGTGTTGACCCGTTGTTGCATATCTGTAGAGCAGGTGTTTGTATTGCATTGGATTTTTTTTATGATAATGTGACATACCCCTTTTGTGCTATGACTTACATGTACTCTGATAAAATTTTGACTTATGCCTAAATAATTAATTGAATTATTTTGGGGTAGGAATAAGGGGGGTGTTACAAAGCACGCTTCTAATTCTGTTTGGTTTTTTAGATGTTTGTTACTTCCATTGTTTGAACTCTTGTTTATACTATTTGGTTTTTTTAGGGTCTTGTACAGGTGTTTGAGGTGAAATACCTAGCTTTTGAACACAAATTTTGTGTTCGGCATATGTATGCTAACTTGAAAAAAAGGTTTGGATGTGGTACCCTATTTAGGGATCTAATGATGGTTGCAGCAAAGGCAACCTACCTGAGGCTCATGAACAATACATGTAGAAGATCAAGGAAGTCAGCAATGATGCATATGAATGGTTGGAGGAAATTCCTAAAACTAAGTGGTGTAAGCATGCATTTCCTTTGTATACTAAGTGTGATGTGTTGATGAAAAATTTAAGTTAATCCTTTAATGCCACTATATTGCTTCAAAGGGACAAACCAATTATAACAATGTTTGAATGGATTAGGTCATATATTATGGGTAGGTTTGCAACTTTAAGGGAAAAGGTTAATGGGTATGAGGGTGTTATCATGTTAAAACCACTAAAGAGATTGGATAGAGAGATTGAAAAGAATGCAAGTTGGACAACCACTTATGCTGGACAATTGACATTCTAAGTTACCTATTTCATGTTTACTGATAGTTTTGTGGTTAATTTGGCTAATCAAACATGTTCATATAATTTTTGGGATCTCATTGGAATTCCATGTAGACACACAGTTGTTGCAATCCATTGGAAAATTGATGATCCCATTAATCATGTCCATAAGTGTTATCACAAGTTGACTTATGTCAAATGTTATAAGGAAGGTATCACTCCTTTGAATGGCCAAAATAAGTGGCCAAAAACCAATGATCCAGTAATTTACCCACCCATGTTCAAAAGAGGGCCAGGGAGGCCAAAAAAACTTAGAAGAAGGGAACCTGATGAATCCAATGCTACCAAGTGGCAAGGAACTAATACTACTCATAGGTGTAAAACATGTTTGGAGTATGTTCATAACACTAGGACATGTAAGAAAAATAAAAATATTATTCTACACAAGAACCAAGATGTAAAAACAAATCAGGTACCTACACAGGAAAGTCAAACTAGGAATGTTCAAAAGGCAACATCAACAAAGGTTAGTCTTGTGGTTTTTGGGTAATTGTATATTGTTTGTTCTTGTTTGTATGTTATGAGTAATTGTAAATTGTTTTTCAGGGGAGACCTAAGGGTTCATTAAATAAGAAAGACAAAGTGGCACCAAGCAAGGCACCAAGAAAGGCACTAAGCAAGGCACTAAGGAAGGCACCAGGAAAGACACCAAGCAAGGCACCAGGCCAGCCACCAATTAAGGCACAAAGTCAGACACCAAGTAAGGCTAAGACTGCTCAACCTGAAGTCATAGACCAGATAAATGAGGCACCAATTCAGGCTTCAATCCAAGGTTCTCATGCTGCTCAACCATCAACAGACCCACAAACTGCACTACCACCACCAAGTCGTCATGCTAATACTGCACAACCACCAACAGATCCACAAATTGTACTACCACCAACAAGTCCTCATGCTGATACTGCACAACAACCAATAGATCCACAGACTGCACTACCACCACCAAGTCCTCATGTTGATACTGCACCACCACCAACAGATGCTTAGGCTACACTACGACCACCAAGTCCTCATGCTGATACTGCACCAACACCAACACATGCTCAAGTTGCACAACTCATATCTTCTGATATTGCACTACCACCAAGTACAAATAGAAGACACTACCTCAATGACATGGATTTAGATGTTCTCGAAGCAGTTCTCAATGATATCAACAATGGAATGGATTTTGTTCTTGACATTCAACCTCTTACAGCTGACTTAAGCTATATCAAACAGACTGCTATAAACACAAGTCCTTCAAAGTATGGTGGTGTGAAGACCTTCTTTGGTAGTGCACCAAAAGTCAAACCCTTCAAAGCATTCAAACATCCAGGAAAGGTCAAGGCAACCTTCAGTGATCCTTTAAGTTAGGTCAAATTTATTCATGGCTATTTCTTAGGTCAATGTTAAGTTACTCACGTTTATTCATGGTTGTTTTTTAGGTCAAGTCTATGATGCCAAAGAAGAAAAAAGTCCCAAGAGCTGTGAGTCAAACTAGAAAGAGTGAAAGACTCAAGACTATAACAACAAAAGACATCAAGGGGCTTGGAAAAAAACTTGAAGATCCAGTTGTGCTCTCTGAAGATGATATATTAAAACAACCAAAACAAAAGGGAAGACAAATTTGGGAATAAATTCAAAAAGGCTTGCTCAATCAAGATGAAGTTTGAAGAAGTTGAATGATCTTGTTTTTTTGGGCTATGTTACCATAACTGTGTTTTTTTGTAGACTTTAATTAAGTATGTTTTTGTCTATGATGTAACCTATGATCATATGTACTCGATATACAATGACTTGTAATTTTGGTCATCCTTTTGGTACAAACTAAGTCCATGTGTTGACTTTGAATACTTTGAATTCCTATGTTTTTAATGAAGTTATTTCATGTCAGTTTGTTTGCAAATTATGATGTTAAAAGTGTTACCAAACTTTTAGGGGACATAATGCCAAAAATGAGGCTAAATTTAAGGAAACATCATACCAAAATTTAAGATGTTATAAAGTCAAAATTTAGATGTTATGAGTCAATTAGTAGACAAATCAAATAAAAACACACAGAAACACAGTGATCAAACACAATTCTTATAAATTGAACATCCACAATTCCGTTACATTGATCATCCAATATTCCATTACAAAGCATATCATGACATAAACTACTTAGCATATCAATCCAAATTTCCATTACATTGATCGTCCTAAATTCAACAATTACATTTCAAAAATTGATACACGTTAATCATAACAGAGAATACAAAGCATATCAGCTTGATTTTTCCAGCCCATTCCTCTGCTCTAAATTTTTTTTGCATCTTCATGTTCTTCTTCTTCGAACCTTCGTACAACTCTCTCAACAAATTAACAGTATCTAATTCCTTCATCCTGTTATTTTCTACCTGATCAAAACCATTATCATCTTCTTCGAAAAGATCTTCATACCATACAAAAAGATCACACGTTTCTTTACCCTGCCAAAAAGGACATCTCCAAAAAAGCTTGCCTTTATTACGACCATTCTTGCACACGTATGAAACCATACGAGCATCACAGCTGCAATTTCTTCCTCACGACAGCTTCCCACAGATGATGAAGATATGCTAACGGGTTTCTTAGGACTTATCCTTGAATACAACATCAAAGGAGTTGAAAGAGGGCGAAGACAAATGGAAGCTGAAGAAAAGGGCAAAGAGAAATCGAGGCTGAAGAAATGAAAAGCAAGAAGAAGAAGACCACAATCTGAAGATGAAATGAGACTAAAGAGAAAGAGGGGTGTATGAATGTGATTTGATGAAATTAGGGTAAGAATTCACAATTTGATGTGTCATTTCCTAGCATACGTGGAAATCTAAACAGGTCGAAATAATTAAAAAAGAAAGTCAAATCAGTGTCCACGTAAGATGCCGTTAAGTGAAATAGTTGACAGAGACGAAATCTAAGGACATAAATCTTTAGGAGGATGATTCTTTAAACAAAAATGTTAGGAGGCCTAAAACTTGAATTTGGGTTATTTATAGGGACCTGTAACATATTTAACTCTAAAATTAAATATATATTTTCTTTGCCCTTTGTAAATTTACATAGGGTTTCATGTAAACTATTAACTTCATTTTTCTATGAATTAAAGGGTTCACATTTGTTCGATTCTAACGATTTTCCTTCTCATATCGGTTAATTCATTTCTAAGATGTTCATTACCATTTTCAATAAATTTAATGTGATCTTTAATATCTACATTGTTTCTTTCTAGATTCTTAATTTCCTTACTAAACTTAACAATTAATTTAAACATTTTCTTCTAAGTCATTGATCTTACCTTATTGTCATATTCTTCATAAGTAGATTTAAAACATATGTATTCTTCTTCATCTGATTCCTTAATTGATCTCATGGAAGATACTCTGTGAGAATTTTTTGATAAAGCTTTGAACGAATCTTCACATGAATCATTGGTTGATGAATTTGAATTTTCTCCGACCAGTTCTAAAATTTTCATTTTTTAGAATGAACTCTTGATATAAGGATTCTCCAAATGATCTTTTGGATGATGAATCTTTAAAAAATTCTTTCGGAAGATGGTTCTGATAGGATATTTTATACATAATGATAGTTCTTTCAAAACATACTTTAGGTGTTAGTACTTCTATATTTTCTTCATATAACTTTGAAAATGAAGGTGTTGCGGTGGAAATAGGATCACAAACTATTAATGAGTTTGAATCGCAATTCAATTCACAACCGCTCTTTGATTTATCCGAAGGAAAAGGTCAAAAGAGGGAAAACCTATTTTTGCATCGTAAACACAATGCGGGGAAAGATCTAGGGTTCGGGGGTTGGTTAAATTCAGGGAAGGTATTAGCACCCTAAACTTCTGTAGTACTCTACAGGAACCTTTTGTTCAATGCTTACTATCTGCTTTATTTATTTGCTTAAGGTATATGTACAAAGGATTAAAAGTGAGAAAAGAGGCCTAAGGGGTTAATTCTAAGTTTACTCGGCAAGACATCGCATCCTGTGCCTACGTATCCTTACGGGAGTGGAATCAGAGTAATCGTAGTTCCCCTCAAAAGGGAGGTTAGAAACGTCTTGACTGTGGTCAAGGTCTCAAGGGGAATAGACGCATCTTAGGGATACGCTTACATGGAGTATAGGAACTCCAAATTTCTACGTTGAAATGTTAAGTTGTAATTAGGGTTAAATTAGGTTAGGGATTCCACGGCGGGAAACCCTAAAATGAGCGCGGCGGCTCTTTGACCTAAAACTAGGATAAATTTGTAAACTTGCCTGCGGCGAGGCATTTGTGAAAATTAGGGTTTGAAAAGGTGAAAGGGTTTGAAATTGAGGACTATTGGCGCGGCGGCCAAAAGTTAGACCTAACCTTCGGATGTGTGTAGTGTGATTGGAATATTTATAAATGTGTGAGACAAATGAATTGTAAACAGGGAATGAAACAGAAGTTAAAGTCATGCAAACAGAAGTTTAAAGGCAGAAATTTAAAACGCGATTATTAGATTCGCGAGGTTACATATGAGAAGCAGTTACAATATGATAATGAACTTTGAGTGAGAAAATAAAGTGACATAAATAGTGGGAAGCGTAATGAGCTGCAAAATGAACAAACGATGTTAGTGGGCAGAGTTAAGCGGCAATCAAATTAATTACGAACAATAAAGAAAGAGATGCAAATTTGAGATTATTACAATTCTTAATATTGGCTTGCAAAAAAAAAGGATTTAATTTAAAAATATTTTACTCTTTTAAAAGGTTTTATCTTTTTATATTTTTAAGAAAAGTTTTCCTTATTTATTTTTAAAAAAAGAGTTTTATTTATTTTTAATATATACATAAAAGTTTTAGTTTTATATAAAAAAAAAATTTAATTTTTATTTTAAAAAAGAGGTTTTTTATTATTTTATTATGAAAAGATTTAGTTTATTTATAATATTTACACAAAAACTTTTTTTAAAACAAATATAAAACAATTCAAAAAAACAAAAAAAAACATAATTTAAAAACAAAATAAAAAAAATAAAAAAAATAAACATAAGGGGTTGGGCCGGTCATCACCCCGGACCCAACCCGGTTGGGGAGTAACACAAAGAAAAATTAGGGTTTGTGAACCCTATTATTCTTCACGGCGCCGTTCTTCAATCCCTCTTCTTCTTCCTCATCTCTTCTTCCTCATCTCTTCTTCCTCGCGCCGTGACCTCCTCTGTTCCTGAAACGAACCACGAAACTATGTGAGATAACACGTTTTACCTTTGATTTGGCCGATGATGCTGAAGCTGAGGCCGTGGGGTTGATTGCCCGTCGTTCTTCGTGAACGATGAAGGTGGTCTCTCGGATGTTATGGATTCGCGTTCAGTGATGGTGATCTCTCTGAGCGATGATGACGATTGCTTCGTCTGAGCTCACGCCGTTTAGGGTTTTCTGCGTGCGATTTCTTCGCTAGGGTTTCTCCTCCTCTTTGCATCAGGTTGTATTCCCCTATTTATAATTTCTTTTATCTCTCTTTTTGGGCCTTAAACTATCGTTATTCTGAGATTTGATTTTGTGGTGATATTATTTGATTTTGATTTTCCAGATTGAGTGCGATGTTTTCTGAGATGATTGGGATCTTAATTCATTTTTCTGGTATGAATTTGACACTAGTTCGTTGATTGATTCCAAATACATTCCAATGGGATACGATTTGGTTCTTGCTGATACATGATTGAATCCTATTTCTACTCTTAGGATTTGATTGGGATTTCTCCTGATATGATTCTGAACTCGTTTTGATTCACTTGATACGATTTATTCCATCCCTGATTCGATGTCAAATTTGTTTTCTGTCTTTCTCTGATATAGTTTGCCCTACTCCTTCATACCTTCCTTTTCCTGAATTCCTTGATTGATTCGATTTTGTTGGATTTTTGCAGATGTCAGTCGACTTGTCTTGCTTGCAATTGATACCTGCAGATGTTGAACTGGTGTTGCTCGCTGTGTTGCAGTCGGCGTTGTTT